AATATATATATATATATATATATATATATATATATATATATCTTTTATGTTATTCTTTAATTACTTGATATACGGCTTCAATTTTAGGAAATAATTACAGATAGAAAAAGTGTTACTCTATTTATAGTAACATTTTAATAAATATAAGTAGATATAGATATTGTTAAATATATTAAATGTAGTAGTGTAATTGTGTGTAATGGTTTAAAAAAAAATAGATTAAAGAAAAATTATGGAATAAGCAACATTGTTTTGAATCTTGTTTGCAATTCTTTGTGTATATTGTATAAGTTTTACTGAGTTCATATTCCTCATTTTAGAGTATTGAGTTCAAATAATAGTAAATTTGTTAATTAGTTAGTAATTGGTTCAGAAGTCTCTCAGAATAACACTCGACGTGCTTTATATTACTTGATAATGGTTAATGCACTTCATTCACCAAAAAAAAATGGTTAATATTAGAACTTACCATTTTTAAGTTGTTTGTTTAAATATATACTAGACCCACATGAATGAAACAACTTATGAACTATCCGGTTTGGTTTATTTTTTATGGTTGTTATTATATAGTAGCTAATTAAGGCAAATAGGTTTATTAAAAGAGATCTAATTCAAATTCCAGTGGAGGACATTTAATCTTTTTTTAGGTGGAACAGTTGAACTGCAACTCATCAACTAGTTTAATACTTGATTTTCAAGTTAAGGGATACAGAATAGAGTTATTTCTTGGTCCAAGCAAATTGGCTTGACTTAACTTTTTCAAAATATATAAGTGATTTGCTTCAAGCTTCAACTTTATGTTGATTACCTTTAATAATAAAACCCTTTTCTCTTTCAAATATTCTATCATTAAACAACAATAATAATTTGCTTCATTTGACTTACACATGAAACTTATAAATTTAATATCAATAAAAAAAAACTTATAAATTAAAAAAATTATTTTAAAAACTAAAGTAAATAATCACTAAAAAAGAAAAAGAAAAGAAAAACAATTTCTAAACAAAAACCAGAAACACCAGTTGTGTTAGTTAATTTTATTCTTTTGCAAATTTAAAAAAAATTAAAAGAACATGAGAGACATATATATATATTATAAGGTTTGAAAGAATTGAGTTTTCTAATTGCATTTCAATGTTTACAAAGTTGCCTAATATATACAAGTGAAAAATCCATGAACTAAAGATTTCGATTCAAAATCATAAGATATTTCTTATATATTTGAGAAGATTATAATAAATCAATTAATAATAATAATAAAATATTTATCTATATAAACAAATTATATGTATCTGATGGTAAGTTAAATAATTAATAAGTGTTAAACACATTTTTTTAATACAAGATAATAAACTTGATGCCTTTCAAGTTTTGGAGATAAATTATTCTCATTTTTTACCAGAAATACTCTTGAATAATAAAATAAAAGGTCACACGCATTCTTTTAAGAGTTAATCACTTATACACTGTCAGTGTAGAGTTTTTTTACACTGACAATCAATCATATCTTTTAATAGTTTCATGTCAGTTACTCATTTAATGAAATAAAAATAAAATAATTTAAAAGATATGATTGATTGTCAGTGTAAAAAATATGAATGATTAACTCTTCTTTTAATATAATATAACAACTTTTCATTTGTTAGAAAAATTTATAACAGTTAGCTTGCGACACAAGACCAAATAATTGTGCACTGTGGACAATCATTAATTACATATTTTCTCCCCCAATGCGCAAAATCAACAGGTGTAATCATAATATATAATTCCAGACTGGTAAATTGTTTTGAGCATATATTACTTTAATAAAATCTTTTAAATTTTATATTATTTTGGTAAAAATAAGGTGTAAAATTGTAAAGTCAGAATATTCCATGTGCTTAAAAGAAATCACCAACTAAGAAAAGGCTATAAAATTATGAATCATATTCTCATTCTTTGACATATATACGGATAAATTAGATCGTGCTAATCTCCAGTTGTTTTTTCAAATGCAAACAATTTTCACCATTAAAAAATTATAAAATAATATATTTTTAAATATGCCTAAAACTTTTGAACAGACAAAATGAAAATGACCCATCTGGCATTGGTTTTCCATTTGCACACGGGTAATTTAACACTGTAATCATCAATTTGAGAAATCCAAGTATTAGAATTTAGAAGTAATAATGTATTATGAAAAGGACATTTGTAGGTGGTGAAGTCAACGAGTCTTCTCATTAGAAGTTTGATACCAGCTCTTCAACAAAGCAAAATTAACGTGTGAATATGAAGTCAACAAAGAATCATAAAAAAGGTAACAAAAAAAATACTTTCAGGATTGATTGGTGCAAACTGCTAACAGTATACCTTCCGTGTGTGTGTAGAAGTTCTTTTCTTCCCTTATCTCTTGTGAAACGTACCACCTTAGGCAAACCAAAACAAATTAGAAAAATAGTCTTCTCATAATTATAAAAGCAAAATAAACTTCACCAAAAGATGGATGCATGGAATTGATTTGTGTTGTGCTTGTAATTTCTAAAGACAAAATGTCTTAATGCTGAAATGAGTTCACTTTGTTTTGTTGGTTCATCGAATCTTCCCTTGAACCTTGTGTTGAGATCTAAAGGAGATTGCAACAAATTAATAACCCTATGATATGATTTAGATGGATGAGCAAATTAAGTCATCTCCCAGTAGATTGGCAGAATGTCGAATATGCCACGATGAAGATGAAGAATCAAACATGGACACACCTTGTTCGTGTTGTGGGACATTGAAGGTAGGATTGTCTTGCTAATTGCTTTATGCAATAATGTTAGTTTGTAAATTTATTTGCTTAGTTTATATACATCTGCAAGCTTGTTTTATATAATGTTACTTTTGACATTGTGTTCACCTAACCTAAACTTTTAATGTGTAGTGTATCATTATCAGCAAAACATTATATTTGTTTAACCTTTTTATGTGCTTGTCAATATTTATTGAAACTGTAGATTAATGTGTGCGTTTATTGATATTCAATATCTGTTAGTTAACTACTTGACTTCTACAGCTCTACGTACATATGTCAGAATATTGTTTATATCTGAACCTATGACACCTTTACTGGATAATAATTTGAGCTCACTTTTTTTTCTTTTGATCATTGTAGTATGCGCACCAAAAATGTGTTCAAAGATGGTGCAATGAGAAAGGTGATACAACCTGTGAAATTTGCCAACAGGTCTGTTCTTTGATGTTATCTTATTCAGACGTTTTTGTCTTCAAATTATACTTCATTAAATTTATTCAAACTTAATGAGAATGTGTTCACTTTTTTTCCCACTTTGGTAACTACAGCAACTTAAGCCTGGCTATACTGCACATCCACCACCTCTATCCCATTATGGTGGTTCTCCAATAAATCTTGGGTACAAGTTAATTATTAGTATACTCATTGTCCTAGTTTTTATATGTATTTATTCTTTCTATAATCAAATGATAATGGGAGATTGTTATCTCAGAGATAACTGGGAGATTTCAAGAAGGGATCTTCATAATCGTCAGTTCATAGCAATGTTTAGTGCTGATCATCATGAATTCCTAGAACTTGACTTGGAGTATTCATCAACACCCTCAAGAAGAAGCATAATATGTTGTCGCATTGTTGCCATTATTGTAATTTCCTTTTTCTCCCTTCACATACATATGCTTTGCATAAGTAAAATAGAAAAGAGGAGTATAATAAGTGAGAAATTATTGTGTCTTAAAAGATGCATGTGATCCCAACCAATCTCTACAAGACACTTTATAATAATAATAATAATAATAATAATAATTTAAAAAATTATGTGCCATATGAAGATTGATTGGAATAAGATGATATTAGACTATACATACAATAATTTCTTGTGGCTGGGAGACACATAAAAATATGCAACTGGTTTATATGTGAAGACTGTAACAGTTTCTAGATTTGTGTTATTTTATATGCACATCAGAAATGGAAATCAATAGCATTTATTGTTATGGTTAGATTAATATTGTTACGTTTTTCCCTTACAATAATGTTGTTTCTATTTCTATTGCAGTTTATTGTTCTACTTCTTTTACGCCATACACTTCCAATCATATTTATACTCAGTGGAGCAGGAGAGTATTCATTGACAATATTTATGGTAATACAACGCAGATATAGTTATTTATAATAACTATTGACCACTTTTTAACGCATTGCCCTAATTTCTTCAATTCATTACAGTTAATAGTGTTGAGAATCATCAGAATGATTGTACCAGTGTATATAACGACTAAAGCTATTACTGCAATTCAATTGTTTCAATACCAGGTTAGCAATAATTTTGTACATGTTCTTGAACATGTGCATAGATGTAACTTCTCAAGCTCACTCATCTTAGTTTTTTCAAAAATTTATTTTTAACTTGTATATAAGTTAATTTTATCTTATAAATTTTTTTATTCTGCAAATATTTTATCAAAACAAATCCTAATGGTGTTACTGCCAACTTTAGTATGGAGATATCAATCAGTGGAATATATATATATTACAAATAATTTTAGTATAAGCTTTATATGCACACATATTCTACTGCAACTTCATCTCCAGAACATGCTTTCGTTTGCAATTAACTGATTTGATGCTATCTTTAGGCAAGGGAAATCAATTCTTTCTTTTTCTGAATAGGGTCATCAGCATTCCCCTGAGCAAGAATATGGAGAAAATGAAATAGGACAACCTCAGTTGCGTGTCATTCATATTCAGTGATTCCATGGTCAGTTGGAATGAAAAATTATGATGTTGAAAAGATAAATCAGTGGAGTCATGATTATCTTTTATGTACAGGGAGGGTGAAAACATACCAAATTGCAGAGAAATTTGATGTAGCGCTACTCGTTTGGTACATCAATATAATCTAGATGCCGTTGTATATACACTATGTAAAACCTTTTATTATTGGAAAAGAAAAGGATGAGAAAGATCAAAAGCATTAATTGGAGATATACTACAATACACATTGTCATGATCAATTGCTAACAACAAAATAAAATGGATTCTTATCATCATCTGTAAAGGGAATACCTCACTTTAATTAACACCTTATTTTACTCATTTTCCCTTTAAACTATGTACATTATAATTGCAATTAATTGATTTTGTTTTTCACAATTTTTATTTAATCTTTATTATCTCTCTTCTTTTAACTTTTCATTCGTAATAATTGGTTGCCAATTTCTATTTTCTATTCAATTTTTTCTTCTTTCCGATTCTTGACATTTTTATCTCTATAAAAATAAAAAAAAATAAAAAATAGCCTGCTTTTTCACTAGTTTTAGAATAAATGAAAGTTTGTCCCTTTTTTTGGGTAAAGATTGTACTCCTTTTCTTATCAGTTTATATTAAGTTGTATTTGAAACACGATTACTCAAGGTAATCATTGTTTAAATTGAGTTAAAATGTTTCAAAAGTTATATCACATTTGGTCTATGTTTTAAAAAACAAGTTTGTTTTAACATAATATACTTTCAAATCAAAGCAAATGCCTTATTGTTTTTACATTTCACGTATTGAAAAGTTCAAACTTCTATTCCAAACGGTAAATTAAATATGTTGTTAATTTTTAATTTGAAATGGTGTGGCAAGTGAATCCAATATTTTTTCCTTTTCACGTTTAGGCTCTTAGAATATAGTTTTTGGATTAATATGTTCTCAAATATGTGCTTTTTTAGTTACATTAATTTTACTTTTTAAAAAAAAAAGGCATCAAATGAAAGTGCATTATAAATTAAAAGTTTCATCAGGAGAGCAAAACTCCGATTTCATATTAAGAAATTAAGGAGCAAGTATAATGTAAAAAGAAATGTAATCTTATTTTTATATTGAAATCTAATAATAATAATTTAAGAAAACTAAGTTATGACCAATTGAAAAAACCCTTTTGCTATTAAAAGATATTAGTAGTATTTTAGGTAGTATATTATACAAAATAAATATTTTTTTTATATAATTAAAAATTATTATAAATATGCAACTTGAAATATATACATTGTATTTTGAATTTGCAAAAATAAATTTTTTTAAAGTATTGATATTTATAAAAAACAATAATAAAAAATAATAATAGTAATAATAAATAATAAAAACTAGCTTGAGAAGGAAAAAGAACATGCTTAATCATGGGAAGAAAGGAAGAAAGAAAATATTGAGAGATCTAGTTTAGGAAGTAGAGTGAATCACTCAAAGTTTTGTATTTTAATTTATAATGTAGTAATTGATCAGAAATAACATTATTTGACACAAATAGCAATGGCATGAAACACGCGAATCATAACGCTGATTGACGGAAACGTTTCGTACAAATTAGTATTTTTTATTGTAGAAATTTTCAGGATGATAGTTGAATAATTTTATAATTGCTTACCCATTGGAGATATTGAGGGACATACAAATGATACAATTCATACGGCCTTGCGAGTTTGGTTAAATCTAATAATTTCTAAACATTTTTTTTTTTATAATTGAGACTTCACTTTACAGTTTATGATGATTGATAATGCAACACGGCATTGTAAATTTATTTTTTTTCACAACGTGTTCAATTTTATTGATCTATTATTTCCCAACTTAATGAATGATGTTTGTTCACGACACATTGAATTAACATCATAATTATAGTGTTTAAGATGTTCGATAGATTTCAAACAGAATATTGGGTTGATGATTACGTGTAGGCCTACATCCCAATACAAAATGCCACATTGAATTAATTGTATGTTTGAAGTGTGGAACAACTCTCCTAATACGTTAACACTTGTTATTTAGTAAGCTTCACTCGAAAAATACTTAAACCATCATAACTTAAAAATGATTTCATATCGCATAAACACTAAATGTAACTTAAATTTTACACGCCCCCAAAATCTTGACAGCGTCACTTACTTATATCTTGATAGGGTCATTCGCCACATTATAAGATGAGATCGAGTTAACTTGATTTTGTTTATTAATTCATTTCAATCTTAATATTATAATTAAGTCATACAGTTAAATTTGAATATAGTTTCCAATATATTTTAAAATAAGTAGTATTAATATCAATGTTATATTAAATATCATATATTAAATTAAGAAATCTTATTAATTTATAATTATTAAGAATATATAGATTTTAATAGAGGATAAAATATAGAACTTAATTGGAAAGGCCTAAAGTATAAATTGAACCCATATTTAAGGTATGCCAGATTTAAGTTTCAAAACCTAAATATGAAAAGCAATTTTGGTCATAAGCACCCGAAATAGAACTAAGGAAAAAGTTCAAGTATTATTTTCTTGTTATTGTCAAGTCCTGCCGTATCCAAGACGATGAAAAGTGATCGGAGAGACATTCCTAAAATGAAGAGGAATTAGATATATGCATAGACGTATAGAGAAAGGGAGAGTCAATCTGATAGTGGCTGTACCTTGATCACAATCACACGCAACTGGCCTAAAATATGCCTTGCACAATTATTAATCATAATCGCATAAGCTATTGTCGGAAGCATCCTCCGTCCAAACCTCCCCTAACAATCCAAGAAAACCAAAAGGGGCAAACAAATACATTCTGTCTGCCTGAAATATGCTTACCCAATTCATAATCACAATAGCATAAATTATAGTCAGAAGCCTCCCCCAATGATCCAACAAAACTTATCTTATTGTAATTCCCTACAAATGTAGAGAATGTTCATATCAACCACATGTCTGAACAAACATGAGACGTACAGAAAACCGCATCATAATAACAACACGCTTTTACTTAAACATAAAACATAATCATCAAAAACCAAATACATAAAAATAAGAAAGAGTACATGCTAATGTCCAGACATGCATGCACCGTACGCACAAAAGCTTAGATGTTATAGTAGTTCAACAACACAGGGCCAACATGACCCTTTATTGGAAACAAAGGACACGACATAAGCAAGCAAACACAAGTACCGGATGATCTGGGAAAATTATGCTTTCTCCATAATGACGAGCACAATTATTCTTCCTCAGATTCTGATTCTGCATTCTGAAGCCAATCAATGAAAGGTTGAGCATTTTTCCAAATCTGAGATTTCTTGTTATCGCCCTTCAGTCCCTTTTGATACCACTGCACAATGAACTCTTCCTCCAAAACATCAGCATCGTAGAGTGCCTTTAGAACCAGGGCAACCTCCTTCAAAGCATTAGAAGTAGACTTGCAAGAAAATTCCTCAAAAGCATTAAGCAATAACAACTGGGATCCCTCCTCGCCAACAGCAGCAGCAAGGTAGTTCTTCTTCTTAATAGCTTCTTTGGCAAAACCTTTCTCAGTTCCCTCGAAGAGAGCTTCAACCAGAGCACTGATCTTTTCTTGAGCAGGTACAGTAAGTGCTGCAAGATGAGACATCAATTCCTTCGCCCCAACACCTTTCTTCAAATTTGCTTTCACTTCACCAACCAGGGTTCCATAGGACATTGAGTTACCATTCTGAGAACCACCATTTCCGTTACTTGCAGCCTTTTTCTTCTTCTCAGGTTCATCTGTAGAAAGCATAACCATATCAGCTGTCACAGCACTTAACTGTTCCTGGATACGTTGACGAGCAGCATCAAGGGATGTATCTGTCAGCCATTGCACGTCATCATCATCATCTTCATCATGAGCCTCCTCTTTCTCATCAACTTGACTGTGAGTAGGTGATGTGCGGTCTTCATCAGAGCCATTTGCTTTCTTCTTTGAAGTGGTGGATTTAGCAGTGACATCCTTTGAAGATGTGGCGCCTTTCTTTTTAACCTCTTTCTTCAGTTTCTTCAGTTCCTCGTCAGCTGCTTCACCTTCCTTCAGTCTCTCCTTCTCAGCTCTCCTCATAGCCTTCTTGTCTTTGGATCCTTTCTTAACTTCTGGAGGGTTCTTAATGATAAAAGTAGTTAGCTTGTCTCGCATGTCAACATCAGACACAAAACCACAAGCAGCACATTTCAGCTGGATCATTTGGTTCTTAGTAATTATGATCTCAGTTTCAGGATTTCCACAACCATAACACTGGACATATTTCTTAATGAAGTTCTCCAGAAGGCCGGCAAGCTTTGCAGTATCATGCGCTCCATTGACATGAGAAGTGCCGGTCTTCTCATCAAATTTTGACTGGGCCCCAAGTTCACAACCAAAATACTTGGTTGTGTAGGATGCCGGCCTCGCCAATGCCTTTGCAATATCAACCATATTGACAACATTAGTCTTGATGCCATTACCTCTACCCTCAATTTTGGTAATCATCCTAGGCATCTTATACCTGTAGAAGGCATCATCACTGTTAGCAGCACCAATGTTCTGTAAAGCCATGTTGACTCACAAAGTCACAAAGGATATTCAGAGGCAGCAAATGCCGGAATTCAAACTTTCAGCCTTTAAGTTAGCTTTCACCCTTGAAGAATCTCCTTCAAGGATAATGGAAGGAGGCCAACCGCAAGCAGAAAACTGAGTGAATTTCTGGTATGTCTCGCAATGCATACAGCTAACTGTCTGTGGTGAGGGTCTGTAATTTTTTCTAGAGGAAGAAAAATACTCTCCAAGCAGCTCAGTTGCTCCCAAATGGATAGTAGCCTGTTCAAACATGAAAGAAACTTTAACGTGACACCTTCACCTTGGAATCTGCTACACGGCAGAACTTGCACGGGTACCAAGCCAACAACAGGAAGGTTCAACAACACCTACAATTCAAATCCACAAAACACATCACAAACAGCTAAAATCCCAACACAACGTCGAAAAACTCAAGGCAAATCATAAACCCTATACATTAGAACGAAATCACCGAACAATACCTAGTCAAAACAAATGATCAAATACCAAGTCATACATCAATCAGGCCTGTGAATAAACAAGCACATAAATTATTTTCCCTAGAGTTTTCACATATACATCTGTCTATAGGTATCTTAACAAAACACCAAAACGCAAGTAATTGAATAAGGGCGTTATAATCGAACAATCGAAAACCTAGATCACAAATCAAACAGCCTTAACAATAAGATTTCACAAGGAATATCCATCCAATGAGCGGTGCATCAAACTAAAATCCGAAACATTAAACTCAGATGAATACGCACGATGGCGCGTTCGATGAGAGAAGAAAAAAATCGGGAGATGCAAAAGGATGATAATCTAAAAAAACGCGTGAAAGGAGAAGAAGAAATACCTGAAATCGGAGGCGAGGGTTTGCAGAGCGATGAGAGACGAAGAAAGGGATTAGGGATAGAGTTTTGAGATGTTGAGGCGGCGCTGTGGTCTGTGTCTAATATTTATAGTTATAATTCATAATTCATTATTTATATTTATAATTGATATGGGGTTGGTTGTTGAGGTTTTTATATTTTTGTGGCACCCAAATTACCACATCAATTACAACTAGGGTTTCGTATTCACCGTTCATCATGTTGACTTCATCAACACACCACCTCTTCTAGCCCTTCATCACACCACATCGTAACCGCCACGTACCCATCCTATTAAAATATCTCTTTACTAAGTCGGTTAGGTTAAAGGGAAAAAATATTTTTATTATAGCAAAAACTCACGTACTATAAATTAAATATAAAAAAAAAACTACTTTTCTTTATAAGAAAGTTTAACTTCTTTCTGTTAGATCTTTTCCTATTTAAATAAACTAGTAGTTTCAATCACAAATAAGTTAATGATTTTTGGTAAAGAAAAAAAATATTATTCGTTGAATTTTCACAATTTTTATTAAATATTATAACACGGTAACAATTTCTTTGAGAAATTATATATAAATTCCCTGTTTTTCTACTTTTGTATCAAATTTATTTAATTTTTTAAAAAATATATGATATTTTAGTTTTAGACGTTATATTAATTATCTTTAATAACTTCAAGTGTGTGGTTTAGTAGTAGGGGTTGATTCACACTTAAGCAAAGTCAGGGTTCAAATCCTGCTTTGTGTATGCAGCCGTATTAAATCTTAGGACTAGTTATCTCACCCTTTGAAATGTCTCTCTCGTAATTAGAGTGGATACTCCAGGATATTCTTTAAAGTGTCTTTCTCGTAACTGGAGTGGATATTCCAGGAACGAGCCTATTAATAATTTAGAAATATCACTATATCATTTTATAAAATGTATATGTATATATAAATAAATAATATTGTAATTTCATTAATATACAAGATAATATATAAGTATAGTTGATATACAACTGATTTTTGAAATGGATTTAAAAGAACATTTAAGATTATAAAAGAAATGGTTGGACTTTATCTGAACTAGTGAACCTTCGTTATGAAGCAAAGTATGATATATTATAGGTTAAGATACTTTGCAGGGTTTAAACTTTAAATTCAAATTTTATTGTGCGATTGTGTATGAAAAAGAATTGGTTAGTTCAGTGTTTGTTTATCTGGTGGTTCATGAGGGCTTATTGATTTTGGCAAATATGTGTTAGTAGAAAACGTGAAAGTTCTAAACCTAATCGTCAACTATGAAGCAAGCTAAACCTGAATTTGGTAGGAATGGGTTGGCTTAGCCCAATAGATGTTCTTTTAAAACAACAAATACATATTGGATTGGGTTTCTTCTAAAAAAATTGGATTGGGTCTGACCCACTGATTGAATACGGCCATTGTTGGAAACAGAATGCAATATGAAAACTAAAATATAGCATGAATAAATATGTGTTGAGAATGTAAATACTTTTTAGTTTTTATACCGTAATCTAACTATAAAATGTTAAAATTATTAATTTTATAATAATTATCTTAAAAATTATATTAGTAATAATTTTTTATCGATGGTGTAAACACTTCTGCACTAATAATAACAGTGTATAACTATAAAATTCGTAATTTATAAACTTGAACGAAATAATTTCTTATTTTTTTTAGTAAGCCAAAATCATTTCTTATTATGAGTAAATTTCAATAAACAGCTTAATTAAATGTTTGTTTAATAAATCATTGTCATAGGAAAACTTATATTATAAATTTAAGCATAAAACCAATTGAATTTGCATCATCTTAGGTGATCAATTGATCTAGTTATAAAATTATCTAACTTTTTATTTTTTATTTTTTCAAAGTTAAAGAGTTTAGGATTTAGGATTCAGTTAAAAATATAGTTTATGAATCAATTAACTTTAACAGATTTACAATTAACTTTTTATCAGCTTGTTCGTAATTGAATTTGGTTCTTACGTAAATAACTAAATAAGTGAACAATCAAAATTGTTGTTTGATTATGATAATGACATACTCTAGAAACTTACAATAACAGTTACTTTCATAATGGTATGAGAAACTCACAAACGTTGGTTAATGAAGATAGTGAGAAAAAACCGTCTCTAACAAAATAAAATATTGAGATGAAATGTAACTCTAACATAAACGTGGAAAGATGAATACGATGAGTTACTTTTGAATAGTTCAATAATAGAACTCACTATTCACTAAACATAAAATAGTGTAGGTCTAAGTTTTGACTAGCTATTCAAACTGATATGGTTTTGCCTCATGTATGCTACAAATTTACGTGCTACGCCTAATGATACAAGGGTAGCATACTATAGCTGAAATGAATGGGGAGTTATATATTGATTAATTTGAAAATAACTATGTAACAAATTCATTTGATAATTCTTGGTTCCAAAATAAAAAGGATCGTTGTACAGGTGTCCCTCGTGACAAACAGAAAAAATGTATTTTCTTTTACCAAAAAGGTTTTTTTTTTTTACCATTATAAAAAAAAAGTATTTTATAACTATAAGGGAAAAATTCAATAGCAAAAATATTTTTTTCAAGAATAAAAATAAGGGTGGGAAGCATGTCATGATAACTTAACTTATTCTATTTTCTTATTCTATTTTTTATTTGTATTTTTAATTCAGTTAGGAGGTTAGTTAGTTTGTTTTTCTTAATTATAGTTTGTTTTCTCTTGTATTACTGTAACTATATATACTTGTAGTTGATTATTGTTAAATACAGTTTTTCAATATAATTCTGATTCCGCATTCTTCGTGCTTCTTCTTTTTTAAGAAAGTTTCTTTCATGACATTTTCATGGTGATTTCTTTATCAAAATTGTAATATGGTATTAGCCTGTGCCGGGGCTCTGTATTTTTTTTCCTGCTCCACCTTATTCCCTCTTCCATCAATTGAAGATCTAATTTCTTGATCTGTTCCCCCTTTTTTTTCTCTCCCTCTTCAAAATCTTCAATCATTTCTCTTATCCCTTCTCTTCTCTATTTCTTCCTTTAATCATGATTGTTCAAATAAACCCTCTCCTCGATCCTCTCAGTCCATATTTTCTTCCTTCCAACAAAAATCCTTCAATCAGTTTGGTTTCTGCACCTCTAAATGATCACAATTATCTTTCTTGGTCGCAATCTATGTTACTTGTTCTTAGAACCAAAAACAAACTCGCATTCGTCGATGGATCTCTCGCTCGACTTGCCACTGCCGGAGTGAATCAAACAACTTGGGATCGTTGCAACAAGTTGGTTATTTCCTGGATCGTACAATCGCTGGATACATCCCTAATTTTGAGTGTAATTTGGATGCCAACAGCTTCTCAAATATGGAATGATCTCAAGAAACGGTACTACCAAGGTGATGTCTTTAGAATCTCTAAATTGCTTGAGGAAATCTACTCACTAAAACAAGGTAATATATCCATTACCCATTACTTCACAACCTTACAAGGACTATGGCAAGAATTAGATCATTTCTGTCCTATACCTTCGTGCACTTGCTCTACTACTTGTTCTTGTAAACTCATCCCTACTATTCAGTCATATAGGGAGAGAGAATATGTCATACGATTTCTTAAAGGATTGAATGAGCAGTATTCCAATGTAAGATCTCAAGCAATGTTGATGGACCATTTTCCATCGGTGCAAAAGGTTTTCTCAATGCTCTTGCAACAAGAAAGAGAACTCCATGGTACCAATGATAATCAGGTATTGGCAGTGACTTCTAATAATGAAAGGAACAACTATAAAGGATCCAAAACATTTAAAAGAAACAAAGACTACAACACAAAGGTATGTTCTCATTATGGGAGGATTGGTCATCTAGTTGATTCATGTTATAAGAAACATGGTCCTCCACTACACCACAAGCATGGCAGAGTTGTGAACCAGTACCAATCAGTTTCTGATGAGGATATTGATGATGATCAATCTGTCCAATCTCAGAGAGTAGTCTCCCATAATTCAAGGAACATGTTTACTCCAAAATAGCATCAAGCCCTTCTAGCCCTTCTTCAACAATCAGGTAGCACACCCAGTATCACTCTGTGAATCAACTTGCATGTCCTTCTATCTTTTCTTCTCCTAAGCCATCAGGTATGATTCTGTCTTTCCTTTATTCTCATAATAGTGATTGTTGGATCATAGATACTAGAGCCACAGATCATGTTTGTAAAAACATCAAATTTTTTCAATCCTATAGAAGAATCAAACCTATACTGATCCAACTTCCAAATGGATCACAAGTTAGTACTTGTGTATCTGGAACTGTTCTGCTATCCAACTTTCATTTTAATCTTATTTCGGTCTTCAAGCTTGCTAAAACTCTATCCTGCACACTTACCTTTTCTGATTCTCATTGTCAGATTCAAGCAAATCACTCCATGAGGATGATTGGTGTAGTTGAGTTGCGGGCAGGATTGTATGCAATGGTTTCCTCACCTGAGTCAAATGTTGTTCATCACTGTACAAGTCATTTTTTTTTACTTACAAATCAGATTTATGGCATTTGAGACTAGGACAATATTTATCACATGAAAAACTTTCTTCTCTCAAGGGATCTTATCCTGAAATTCAATGCAATAAAATTTCTTTGGCTTGTGAAATTTGTCATCTTGCTAAGCACAAAAGATTACCTTTTCCAGATAGCTTAACCAAATCTGAAAATGTGTTTGATTTAATTCATGTAGACATTTGGGGACCTTTATCTGTAGCTTCTATTTTTGGTCACAAATACTTCCTAACTATAGTAGACGACAAATCTAGGTTCACTCGGATATTTTCATGAAAAATAAGTTTGAAACCAAGTTATTGTTACAGAACTTTGTCTCTTTTGTTCAGACTCAATTTCAGAAAAACATTAAAACTATAAGAACTGATAATGGACCAGAATTTCTTTTAAAGGATTGGTATGCTAAATTGGGAATTGTACATCAAACCTCTTGTGTAAATACACCACAACAAAATGGAGTAGTCGAGAGAAAACATCAACATATTTTAAGTATGGCTAGAGCACTTATGTTTCAATCAAATGTAAGCAAAATGTTTTGGAATTATGCTATTGGACATGCTGTACACTTAATTAATAGACTACCTACTAGATTTTTGCAACAAAATTCTCCTTATTATGTGCTTTATTCAGAAAAACCTGATTTCTCACATTTGAAGGTCTTTGGTTGTTTGGCTTTTGCTTCTACTTTATCTCATAATAGAACCAAACTTGAACCTAGATCAAGAAAATGTATGTTTCTTGGATACAGTTCAGGCACAAAAGGATTTATTATGTATGATTTAAAAACAAGAGAGACTTTCATTTCCAGAGATGTACAATTTTATGAGAACATTTTTCCACTACAAAAGGATTTTTCAATTCAATCTACTGATGGTCCTGTTGTTCCCATAGCACAAATGCCTTTAACTAATTGTGACCCTATTCCTAGTCATACTCATGATAATCTTGATGAAACTGAAGATGAACATAATTTTTCAACTTTACCTATGACAAATTCCAACAATAATAATCAACCTAACATTGAAATTAATATCCCTGAAATTAGAAGAACATCTCAAAGAGTCAAAAATAAACCAGGATATTTGCAGGACTACCATTGCACTCTTGTAGCTTCAAAAGTTGACCAATCATCATCTACAGTCAGGTATCCTATCTCTGATTACCTTCCCTATACATCTTATTCTGTAGTTCAGCAGTCTTTTGTTTCAGCTATTTCTTCAATCATTGAACCGAGGTCTTATCAAGATGTTATTAATCATGATTGCTGGAAAGAAGCTATTAGAGCAGAATTAGATGCTTTGGATAAACAGAAAACCTGGATATTAACTGACCTTCCTTCTAAAAAAAGGGTTGTTGGTTGTAGATGGGTATTTAAGGTGAAATATCATGCTGATGGATCAGTTGAAAGATATAAGGCCAGAATAGTAGCCAAAGGTTTTACACAAATACCAGGTTTGGATTACATTGACACTTTTAGTCCTGTAGTAAGAATGACCACTGTTAGAGTTCTTTTGGTTATAGTTGTTGCTTCTAATTGGTCAGTACATCAACTAGATATTAACACTGCTTTCTTACATGGTGACTTAGTAGAAGAAGTTTATATGAAACCACCTCCTGGCCTTATCTTACCTTCTCCTAACAAAGTATGCAAATTACAAAAGTCTCTTTATGGTCTCAAACAAGCAAGTAGACAATAGAACATTAAACTCACTGAGACACTCAAACTGTTTGGCTTTGTTCAGTCAAAGTCAGATTATTCATTGTTTACTAAAAGAACTAATATCGGTTTTATAGCCATCCTTGTGTATGTTCATCCTTGTGTGTGTTGATGACTTGATTATTTCAAGTAGTGATGAAACAAAAATTGTGAAGGTAAAGAGGCTTTTGGACAAACAATTTAGTATCAAGGACCTTGGCCAATTGAGCTACTTTCTTGGTCTTGAGATTTCTAGATCAGATCAAGGCATTTTTGTTTGCTAGAGAAAGTATGCCTTTGAGTTGTTACAAGATACATGACTATTAGCATCCAAACCATGTTCTACTCCAATGGATCACCCAACTAGGCTTCACCATGATCCACTTGATCTCTATTCAAATCCATCATCATATAGAAAACTAGTTGGTAGATTGATTTACTTAACCCACACAAGACCTGATTTGGCTTTTGCTATTGGAAAATTAAGCCAATTCAGGCACCAACCAAACAATGCACATTTTCAAGCTGCTCGGAAAGTGCTTAGATATGTGAAAGCTACTCCAACAAAGGGTATATTCTTCCCATCCTCATCAGATCTTAAGCTCACAGGATACACAGATTCGGACTGGGCCACTTGTCCTGATTCAAGGAGATCCATTTCAGGCTTTTTTTTTCTTTTTTCTTTTTTCTAGGCAATGCGTTAGTTTCTTGGAAAAGCAAGAAACAAAATGTGGTGTCTAGATCTTCACCTGAAGCTGAATATCGAGCCTTAGCATTAGGAGTTTGTGAAGCTTAATGGCTTCATAAGCTATTGACAGACTTTCAACTACAAGATCTCATTTCAATATCTCTGTTTTGTGATAATCAGTCAGCCTTATACATTGCTGCTAACCCTGTATACCACGAAAGAACTAAGCATGTGGAAATTGATTGCCACACTATCAGAGATCAAGTTCAAGCAAGATTTATTCATCTAGCTCCAATCACTTCATCTGAACAACTTGTTGATATTTTAACTAAACCTCTTTTACCAAAAATGTTTCAGGATTTTGTGTGCAAGCTTGGACTTTCAAACTTTACCACTCCAAGCTTGAGGGAGGGTGTCATGATGACTTAACTTATTCTATTTTCTTATTCTATTTTTTATTTGTATTTTTAATTCAGTTAGGAGGTTAGTTAGACTGTTTTTCTTAATTATAGTTTGTTTTCTCTTGTATTACTGTAACTATATATACTTGTAGTTGATCATTGTTAAATACAGTTTTTCAATATAATTCTGATTCCACATTCTTCGTGCTTCTTCTTCTTCAAGAAAGTTTCTTTCATGACATTTTTATGGTGATGTCTTTATCAAAATTGTAATAAAGCATGTAAAATATATCGATATTAGAACATCATGATTTATATACATATATATATATATATATATATTTATACTAATATATAAAAAATTAGAAAAGAAATATTTTTTAATCAAATTTAAGAACTTGAAACTAATGAATCTATACTAATATTTAAAAGGGATAATACTTTCAATAATTACTTTTAGTTTTTATTTTTACATGGACCATTTTATCTTTTGTTTATTTTTCAATAATTATTTTTTTTATGAGTAATTTCTCATTTTTTATTTATTTATTTATTTATTTTAATACAATGCAAGCACAAAGTGCCTTTTTCCTGCTAGTATATATAAAGAGAATACTTTTTTCAATAATCATCTTGATCTCCACAATTTTTACATTATATTCTTCTATTTTAAAAAAAATTAGAAAATATTTTTTTAAATTTAAAAACTTGAAACTAATAAATTAATCATAACACCAATTAGATCAATATATTTTTATTATTTTATTTTTATTTTTAATAGAAACATGAATTGCTGCAATTCTACTAGTAAATAATAATAATAATAAATAATGACACACACTAACATTTTTTTCAATTTAACCGAACTTTATTTAAAGGAAAAAAAAATTGTTCAAAATACGTTGGACGAAGCGCTATGTTTTGGACCGATTGGAACGAATAGGACCTGGTAAGCTTAATCAGATACGACAACAAATTATATTTAAAATCTATATTTTTTTAGCAAGAAATACAGCTTGCAAAATATGTATTGTAAAATCTTGAATTTTGTCAATACTATTGTCGTAAATAGTTTAATGTGTCAAAAACTGTCTTCATTGGTTACTTCTTAACTAAAATTAAATCATGATCTTAGGACTAAATCAAAAGTCAACTCGAAAAGGTAAAATAAGAAATGTAAAGAGAATATTAACACTAAATTTTTTGCACCCACTCAATTTAATATTTAGTATGTCTGTGTAAACTAAAAAATATATATTTTTAAATAAGTATTTTAAAAAAATAATTATTTAAAAAACAGATAATTAAGAATTACTTCTTAAAAAAAACAGAAAATTACTTATTTAAAAATAAAAGTGTAGACAAGATCACACAAAAGTTCAAAATGGCTTATTTTATTAAAATAAACGTTTTTTTAGGATTTTTTTTTTTAAACAAACATACTCATTATCAATATTATCTTTCTTCTCTTAGACGTATATTTTATACATTATTTCTGCTATTAAAATTACTCCTGTATTGTTTAGAGAAAAAATACTCATCCTTTTTATTCTCTCAACTAAGCATATCAATATTTTCACTCTTTCTCATTTGAATATGTATTTCACACACTAGTCTCATACAGCACACTATTGATAGTTATTGGTTAGTTAAACGAGTGATAGTTTGGTAAATGATTCTGCTCATCAAAAGGTA